ATATTCTAATAGAATATTACACTGTAAATATTCTAATGTTGTTTTTAGAATGTTAGAATATTCTAGTATTCTACTAGATTTTTTTTGAAAGTTTTCAATTATTTTAAATTTTAAAAATGTTTTTTTTTTCTCCAAAATGAGTTACTTAAAATGCGTTTCACGGTCTCACAAAATTATACCGTCACACACGAACATGCATATATATATATATATATATATATATATATATATATATATATATATATATATATATATATATATATATATATATATATATATATATATATATATATATATATTAGTAGTTTATCCACGCTAAGTTTACATCTAACAACACATCGATTTCCACGGTTTACGTATGATTTCAGTCACTTTTAACCAATACAAAAAAAAAAAAAAAAAAAAAAAAAAAAAAAAAGTTGGTTTATACTTTAACAAAATTTTGAATAAATAAAGGGAAAGCTTAAACAAAATCATTAATTTTTTAATCTTTTATCTAAAAAAGCAATGCTTTATTTTTTTTCTCAAAAACCAATCATATTTTCAGTTTCTTTAAAACAAATGATTTTTGACATATTAAAGTATATTTCCTGATTAGCCGACATGGAATTTATCAAAATAAAATAATAAATGATATGAAAAATAATTTAAAAAAGAACACTTTTATTTTTCTTTTTCACCATGAATCAATAGAACTGAGTTTCAAAAAAGTTGTAATGGTGAATTTTGGAACCGTAATGTTAGACTAAATATAACATCTTATTGATTTTTTTAAAGAAACAAAAAGTAAAAACTCCATGTCTATAACTAAACTTAAACAAACAATAACCAAAATCAAAGCTTTAATAAAAAAAAAAAAAATCAATATTTTGATTCCAAAATCAAAACCAAAAGAATTTAAAGGGACCCTGCATGATAATCTTGAGAGTATCTACATTTTTACCGGATGAATGTTGATAAAACTCAAATATATAAATGAAAACAAAAAAAAATCAAAGATAGTAAAAACATTATGGGTCTGGCGCTTCAAATCCATGGTGTAGATTTTGACTTGATGTAAAATTAGGAACTCGACTCACTTCAAATTTTGAACCATAGATTCAAGACTGCAAAATACCATCTACAATTTCTCTAAGTCTACTTAAATTCCAATTCCAAACCATGACTTTTTTTTTTGAACAGCCAATTTTTATAAAGGAGGGGCCACTAGCAAGTAGCTAAAAGGAAAAAATCACAAGCAAATAGTTACAAAAGATTAAAGTCTAAAGAAACAAAAACCAAGACAAAATGTAAACGGAACTTAGAGACAACTGAATGGAGAGATCAACCACTCATTCCACCCACAACAACCACCGTTACCCCTACTTCTAATCTAGAAATGAACCACTGATTTAACATATTCAACACACTTATGGGGACATATGAATCTTTGGAAAAAGATGTGATCATATCGAAACTTCCACAGACACCACATTAGTCCATAACTGATTATTCTAATATGTTTTTGTCGCCTAGAAGTACCCCTCCAGTTAGCCAAAAAAGTGAGCCACTCACTCAGATTATTACTGAACACCTGATCCGTTATTTCACACCAGTTTAAGATCTTGTCTGTCACCAATCCAGCGAACAGACAACGAGTAAGAATATGGTCAGCACACTTAGATTCATTAATACAAGCGCCACAATATATTGTTTCTATATCAACACCTCTTGATCTACGGGCCTGCAGTGATGAATTTTTTTTTTTGTGCTGCCCTCCAAAAGAAACAATTTACTTTCAATGGTAGTTCTTTGCACCAAGTAATCAACAGAAAGGGTGGATTAGGATACGCACTTTGATCTATGGCCCTCCTAAGTGCATATACGATGTATTTCTTAGTTGCATCCAACTTACATGACCATTTGTCATCTCCATTGACCAAGCAAACGTTAGCTAGGTAGCTATGAAGATTATTGATGTTCTCATCCAACCCTTGTTGCGACGGGCATGAAGTCCAATGTCCTACAAAAACACCTTCATAGAATCTATCGGCCACAGTACATCGTTTACGGGATTCTAGATCAAACAAAGAAGGGTATTTGGAGAGAATGTGTTCCTCCCACTACTCGCCACCACAGTCCTTTTCAGTTTTTAACCGCCACCACCATTTTACTATCAGGCCAATATTTACAGCTCGAATTGATCCTACTCCAAGCCCACCAACAGACTTAGAAGCTACCACTTTGTCCCCGGATACCCAATGAATCTTACGTTTTATCTCGTCACCACCCCATAAGAAACGTCTTCGTATCCGCTCCAGTGTTTCCGTGACTGCCACTGGTGCTACAAACAAAGAAAAACAATATGTGGGGTTTCCCAATACGGATGTGATTAAAGTTAACCAACCACCAAATGATAGGGATTTAGATTTCTAAGAGCTTAGTTTCGATTGGAAATTTTTAATAATAGGTTTCCAGTTTTTGATAATATTCATGTTCGCTACAACGGATACTCCTAGGTACGTGAATGGAAATGAGCCTGGTTCACAGCCAAGGATCCCCGCCCAATTCAATGTTTCGCTTGCAGACACGCCAATGCCAAACACCCTTGATTTACCAAAATTTACTTTAAACCCAGACGATACATGGAAGAATTTTAAGATCCTAGCAAGATTCTTTATGTTCATCTTTGACCACTCGCCAACACAAAGTGCATCGTCGGCGTAAAATAAATGTGTAAGAATTGGACCACCATTAGGTAATTGCACACATTCGAAGATCCCTTTGTCCCTAGCATCTTTTAGAGCTACATTCAACCCCTCCATTGCGATGATGAATAGGAATTGTGATATAGGATCACCTTGTCGGACTCCCTTGGTGATTTCGAATTCATCAGCTGGTGAACCGTTAACCAGAACAGAGGCACGAGATGAACTCAGAAAACCACGAATCCAAAGACGCCATTTGCTGCCAAAACCCATCTGAGAGAGTACGGAATCCAAGTATTCTCAATTTAGCGAATCAAACGCTTTATCGAAATCAACCTTGAATAATAGAATATTTTTTTCTCATTTTCATTGCCCATACGTGTACTTCATTTATCACCAATGGCCCATCAAGAATGTTTCTATCCTCAACATACGCTGATTGTACCTCACCAATAATACCGCCGATTATTGCTTTTAGTCTTGTGGCTAAAGTCTTGGAAATTATCTTGTACATGCAGCCTATCAAACTTATGGGTTGATAATATGATAGGGAGGAGGGATCTTTGATCTTGAGTGCGAGTGTAATAAAAGACGAGTTGCATCCATGGGCAATAGTACTGAATTTATCAAAGTGGAGAACGAATTTGAACACATCATCTTTTAAGACATCCCAATAATCTTTTATGAACCTAAAGGTGTACTCATCAGGCCTCGGGGCCTTGTCGTTGCCGCAAGCCCATACCTCATCTTTAATTTCGTCCATTGTGAACAGAGCTTCCAATTTGATGGCTTCGATCATCGAGATATATTTTGAAGTAGGGACTGACTAGTTTGGGCCTAGATTGGCGGGTTTTAGTGAACTTATGTTTGAAGAAGTTGAGGGTTTCATTTTTAACCTCTTCCACCGATGAGATCCACGCACAGTTTACCATGAGACCTTCAATTTTGTTGCTCCTATTCTTGCTGTTTATGTATGTGTCCATGAAAAAATATAGTGCTTTCATCCCCTTCAACTGCCCATTTTACCCTTATTTTTTTTTTAAATCCAGCACAGCAAAATTTTCTAGTTCCATAATTTTTTTAATTCCATGACTTCTATCATCCAGTTCCGCTTCTGTAGGTGTTTGTAATTCAGCCATAGTTTCTAATTATGCCATGGTGGCTTTTACATCTAGGATCTCCTGTTTCTCCTTCTTTTCGGTGCTGCTTTTCCATTTTTTATTTCATCCTTAAGATATTTTAATTTGGCCCCCAAAAACGCATATCCGGTAAAAGTACTCCAAGCTTCCTTAATTGTGCTGTCAAACTCGTCTTTTAGCAGCCACGGATTAAACAGTTTAGAGGGGGGACCATAATCAGTAATACGTGAGATCATCGTGATTGGACTGTGATTAGATAATTCGCGTGGGTGAACAGTAAACACTAGTGACGGAAAAGCCTCAAGGAAGTCAGGGCATGCTAGGATACTTAATTTGGCATCAACCCTTGTCATGTACGTGTATCTCTCCCCACCCATGTTGAAGTCATGTAGCTCAGCATTACGGATAAATGAATTAAATGCACTAGCAGTAGCAAGACAGTATGTGGAATTAACTCTTTCCTCAGGTCGTCTAACCACGTTAAAATCACCGAACAAAACCCACTTTCCTGGGTTTAGACTTTTGAAGTCAAGCAACTCCGCCCGTAGCCTCCGTTGCTCGCATAAATTATGTGGCCCATATATATTTGCAAATATAATGTCTCCAGTTATTCCTATCCACTCCTCAATGATAATTACATAATGCCTTGCTTTTATTACCTCTTTTTTTAAGCATATACTATTCCATATGGAGATTAAACCACCAGATCTTCCGGTTGCATCTCCACCATCATAGTCGTATTCTTGATTTCCCCAGCAATCTTTAATTTCTACTTTTTCGAACACTAGCAGTTGGGTCTCCTGTATGCCGATGAAATTGGTTTTATTTAAATGTTTCAATCTCCTAACCTAATTAGTCTTCACCTCTACTCCGATACCCCTTACATTGATGGATAAGAAATTCATTGTAGACTGGTTTGCTCACCAACTTCACCCACAGCGGATACCATCATAGGATCTTGTATGTCGATTTGAAATCCAATTGCATTTCCAATCTCAGCCGTTTGTAGAATCTCACATGACAGGGTTTCGTCATTGTGCACCTTCATTGGTTGTGGACGATTCGCAATTTCTGACTCCAAATTTATAGTAGCGCATTCAAGATTAGGGGTCGGAGGTATTGGTAGCTGTTTGGGGATAGAGGTGTCTGATGAATGGATGAGGATGGGGATGAGCTACTGTGACAAACGAATGGATGGTGGTAATTGTTTATTGGACTGAATTGGCGATTTAATTCTTTTCCGTTTGTTAGTCGTGGGCCCAGCGCTTTTAGAGTTTTTCTTTGAATTGGTATTATGGATGCAGGCCGGTGTTTTGAAGGAGAAGGGTGAGTTTGGGTTATTAGGGAATGGGCAAAAGCATCCAAGAAGAACAAGGTTTTTAATGGGTTCAATATCCACCATGCCTTCAGGTCTTGGTTTAGGGGCAAATTCCATATGTGTAACATTCTCCCCGGTATGAATTAAATTTCCAACATTGATTGTTTGGGTAATCTCAACCGTCTCCACCATTTGGGGAATAGGGTTCTCCTAATTAATTTGTTCCTCGTTATCACTCCCCGCCAGCGTATTCAATTTTTCCTCTTCCGGCAAGTCCCCATCAGTAGCATACGTCATCTCCGGTTTATCGGCACCTTTGTCACTTTTTCCGCCGCCGCCTATGTCAGATTTGTCATCGGCCATTGGTTCGTCTTCATTACCTGCCTCCGGTCTAATTTAACCCTCCTTGTAACAACCATAAAATTTACCAAATCCAACCCAATTAAATAAAAATTATTCAAAACCAACATAGTTTCCAAATTGTTTTCAAAATAGTTGCAAATTAGAGTTCCTAGAAATCCCAAATCATAAAACATGAGGAGGTGCACAATCACGCCTTTGCCTTCCCGCGATCATCAGAAGTACCTGAAACAATAATCGATAAATATAAGCTCGAAGGCTTAGTGAGTTACCCCCAAAATACCACCACCATACCAATATAACCATATCAAGTAAAAAAACAATAAACATCATGCATAATGAGCCTTCAGCCTGACTAGACCGCCTCCTACGGGCCTACAGCCTATCTGGACCGCTCCCGAGCCTTCAGCATGACTGGACCGCCTCCTACGGGCCTACAGCCTATCCGGGCCGCTCGTCGGGCCTTCGGCATGACAGGACCGCCTCCTACGGGCCTATAGCCTATCCGGACCGCCCTGGGTATGTTTTCCTTCATCACAAAGTAGGACTGCCTCAACCTAACCACCAATAGATAATCATGTGCACATAAATAACAAATGATAGCATATACATAACAGTCAAACCGATCTAACAGATCATCAATCATAGCAACATCCTATATCTAGAATACCGACCTAACCAGGTCACTAACAGCATACAAGCATACTATAACCAGGATAACAATCCAAAGGGCCGACATTAGTGACTTAGCCCCTGTTGATATAGTTAGGATAACTCACCTCGCTGATATTGCTAAAGTACTGAAGTTCTCTGACCGCTAACTCACCGGAAATCCTGAACTGTCACATAATAAACATTAAGTTAAAGCCCCAACCTTGTACTTGCCTAAGTTCCCATACCACTCATCTAGTTCATTCCCCTTTGTTGGGCCAAGGCCCAACACCTAGTCCTCAACTTGGAGGTATATATACCTAGGTCCATCATTGGCCCAATTTACCAAATTGGTCCCATCCTCCTTATTGGGCCTAACCCCATGATCTATTCTTCCAACTTGGCCCCACATAACTTGTTTATAGGATCCAACAAAGTCCCAGTCCTATTTGTTCCACAAACAGCCCACAACCCAAGGCCCATGTGAAAAGAACCCAACAGAGAGCGTATGCGGGGCGTACCTCTCTGGTTATGCTAGGCGTACTCTAGTTCTATGTTGACCGTCATCGGCCATGTTGACCCGATATGCTGGGCGTACAGAAATTACGTTGGGTGTACGCGAGGTTTTACCAAAACCCCAATTAGTGCTTAATGGCTTAAGCACTTAAGCCCAAATTCCAGATCCATCGACCAAATGTGCCAAAGACCCATAAAGTTCCAGACTTTATCACTTTGTACATCCATAAAGTCCTTAACACATGGTCTTAATCCATTAAGACCTTCTTACTTCATGCATGGGATGAGTCTAGCTATTGGGAACTAATTTTTATCACTCAAGACCTCTTCTAAGGTCTGAAAGGACACCCTATTTCGTCCAAGACATCACATGCACAACTTTGGGATCTTTGGAGCAATAAGATCTCCATAAAGTTAATGTCTAGATCTATATCAAATAAGCATAAAGTTCCAAGCTTTTTACCTGCTGGAGCTTCAATGGCACAACACAACTGCAGATCTATAACCTTGATCTCCTTCTCTAACTCCTTGATGCAAGGTATTCACCTCCAAAGGTCCAAAATGCACACCAACTCACACTTCTCACACAAATTAGGGTTTAGGACGTTTTTATGGGATATGCAGGCTGAGGATAAGCATAAGAATGAACCATAAGGGTGTTTATATAGCCCCCAACCCCAGTTATTAGGGTTTTCTCCTGACATGAGTACGCCCAGCGTACTAGGGCACGCCAAGTACACTCAGCGTACCCTTATGTACGCTCAGCATACTCCTTCCTGCCCTAATGTTGCAACTTTAGTCCTTATACTTCTCGTGATCCAACACAACCTCTCCAAGGACTCCTAAAGGCAACTAATAACAATAAAAAGAATGGTTCAAAAATATACCTGCAAGATTCGGGATGTTACAACTCTCCCCCACTTGAACTAGACTTCGTCCCCGAAGTCGGATATAGTGAAAAGATTCGGGTAGTGCTCCCGTGTCTCGGCCTTCGGCTCCCACGTCCACTCGGATCCCCTCCGATGCTCCCAATGTACCTTTACCAAAGGTACTTCCTTGTTTCTCAACACCTTCATCTTCCTCTCTAATATGGCCACAGGCCTCTCAACATAGTTCAGGCGTTCATCGACCTGAATTTCATCTAATGACACCACCACCTCATCATCCACTATGCACTTCCTTAACTGAGAAACATGGAAGGTACTATGAATCTGGCTCAACTCCTCCGGAAGCTCCAGCCTATACGCCACCCTACCTACCCTGGCGACAACCCGGAAGGGTCCAATGTATCGGGTACCCAATTTCGCCCTCTTCCTGAAATGGATCACACCCTTCCAGGGTGAGACCTTCAAGAGCACCATGTCACCGACCTGAAATTCCAACTCAGATCGGCAGCAGTCAGCATAGTTTTTTTGCTGACTTTGTGCGGTCTGCAGACACTATCTAATCTGCTGAATCCTCTTAGTGGTCTGCAAAACCACCTCTGTCTAGCCCATAACTCGGTGGCCGACCTCGCCCCAACATACTAGGGTACGGCATCTCCGACCATACAACAACTCGAAAGGCGGGGCACCAATGGTGGAACGATAGTTGTTGTTGTACGAAAACTCTGCAAGAGGTAGGTAGGAGTCCCAGATCCCACCGAAGTCGATAACATAGGCTCTTAACATGTCCTCAAGAGTCTATATAGTTCTCTCACTCTGAACATCGGTCTGTGGGTGATATGCGGTGCTGAAATGCAGTCGGGTGCCCAGTTCCTCATGAAACTTCTGCCAGAATCGAGACGTAAACCATACATCACGGTCTGAAATGATAGAGACCGGAACCCCATGCCGTGCGGAAATCTCTCGTATGTATATCTCAACTAATTTCTTGGCCGAAGAACTCTCTCGAATAGCTATAAAATGGATACTCTTGGTCAGTCGATCCACGATGACCCATATTGCATCGGAGCCCCTCGCCGTCCTTGGTAATGTGGTGATTAAATCCATCGTGATATGTTCCCATTTCCACATGGGAACATCAAGAGGCTGCAGCTTGCCATGCGGTCTCTGGTGCTCGGCCTTAACCATTCTACAGGTCAAGCATCTCTCCATGTACCAAGCGATTTCTCACATCATGCACGACCACCAGTAACTCAAACGTAAATCTCGATACATCTTGGTGGCCCCCGGGTGGATAGAGAAACGAGACTTGTGAGCCTCTTCCAAAACAATCTATCGAACCCCACCAGACATCAGAACCCAGATGCGACTGCAAAGGGTCAACAATCCCCGGCTATCTCACACAAACTGGGTGTTTTCACCCTTAATCCTCTCCAGTTTCCAATTTTCCTGACGCATACCCTGGACCTGAGCGTCCCTAATCAAATCTACCAGCGAAGAATCCACTAATATCCTCATACATATGGCTGGGGTAGAAGACCCAGCTGACTTGCGAATCAAAGCGTCCACTACCACATTCGGTTTACCCGGATGGTAAAGGATTTCACTAATATCCTCATACATTCGCTGCCTCATATTCAGGTTGGACTGGTCCATGATATGTCTCAAGCTCTTGTGATCCGTGTATATGGTACAACAGACCCCGTACAGATAATCTCTCCAAATATTGAGGGCGAAAATTGTTGGATTAGTGTCTAAGCCCGTAACCATATTTGGTAAGTACTTGACCCGGTTGTGCATGGTCCTTTTAGGTTGCCTTCACCAAAGCAACTTGACTGGAGAAATAAATAGAGAAAGAGGTTATTATGATTTATTAATATGTTATAAGAATAATATATTAAAGGAGAAATCATATTTATTTAATTAATATTGGTCAATAATTAATTAAGAATTAATTTTGTGATCAAGTGTAATTAATTAAACTAGAGGGGATGAATTGTAATTATGTGATAGTTGCAAAATAGGGAAATGATTATCCTTATTAAAGGATGAACGAATTCTAGGATAAGGATATCCTTGAAATCGTCCAAGTTCCAAGAGATAAGGGCTTTTCAAGGCTTATCTTATGATTGCTTGGTGGGCAAGCAATTAGATAAGGATAAGGACTGAAACCCTAATCTCAACCCTATATAAAGACCCCTAGACCTTGAGAAATTGTCCACTTACTTCCAAGAGCTCCCAAGGACGATTTCTACCTCCTCCCTTTTCTCTCTATAGCCTCTCCAATTGCTTGTGGTGTTTGTGAGCCATTAGAGGCACTACACTTATGGTGCTTGCTCTCAAGACTAATGGTTTGAAGATTTAAGTTGTTATTGCTATATAACAACAAGAGGTATGTGATCTAACCTTATATATGAATTTCGAAAATAGCAACCTACATTAGGGTTTTATTCATGTGTTCATAATGTTGTGTATCTAATAGTGAAAACATAGATCCAAATTAGGGTTGCATGCACACATAGGATTGTTTGTATTAAACCCATCAAAAACCATTGCCCCTAATTCCAAGTCATGCGTAGGGTACCTCGTCTCATGCGGCTTTAACTGCCGCGATGCATAAGCTATCACTCGTCCTCTCTACATGAGGACCGCCCCCAACCCTGTGATGGATGCATCACAAAATACCACCAAATCCTCAACCCCATATGGGAGGGTCAGAACTGGAGCCTCGCACAAACGTTGTCGTAGGGTCTCAAACACCCTCTGCTGCTCGGAACCCCA